TGTAAAGGCTCTACTCAGGGCAGATACTTAAGTTCCACAAAGCAGTGATAGGAAGAGAGCTGAAACAAACTGCAGATCTCTGGGCCAGTGCTTCCTAAATGTGAACATACATTCCTATCACTCAGTGCTCCTGTTTTAAAGGTGGATCTTGGCTGAGGGTAGCTGGGTAGGAGAGGGTATGCTTAGCACTCGAGGCTGAGCTGGGGCCTGAGAATCTAAATGACTAAAAAGTTGCCAAGTTATAGTGATTCTCTTGGTTCTCTGATCATATGTTGAACAGACAAGTTCTAAGCTATAAGGAATCAATTATGCTATTTTCCAGAACACATTTAAAGAGCAATGGAAAATTAGTTTGCAATATCTTTATACATAGTACAGACACATGAAGTAAACCATAAAGATCAACACTGGGAAGGTGATGTAACACACTATAAACAGTGTATTAGTAAAGCCAAGGAAGGATGCCTAGCATGTTGATTCCCGTTTTTCATCTCTCTAGATGCCATTTTCTATTCTCGAGGGAATAAGTAAGTACCTGAGTACTTTGAACTGGCAACCCTGTAGAAAAATAACTTAACTTGGCCATACAATAAGTACAAGAAAGAAGAACTAGAATTTTCTAATGATACAGATGATTTTAAAATAAAATGGAAAATTTCTGAGCAACATGCCTCCTGTCCTCTATAATATCAGGGGACACCTTACACATTTATGAAAAATGCTCAAGCATCTGCTTTGTGGAGCTACAGTTTGGCCTGATTTCTAGTCATTAGCTGGTGTTATCTGATAAACCGAGATAGGTTTACTGTGCCTATAGGTGTTTTCTTAGTGACTAGCTTGAACTACTGTTTCAGATAAACTCAATCCCTTTGGAAAGAAGTTTGGAGCTGGCTCTATGCACACTCAACAGATTCCACTTCAGGTGCTAGATGAAAACAGGAAGCCTTGGTCCGGGTGTTCTAGATCTACTTCCAGGAAGTAACCACTGATTTGTGACCTGGTTAAGTGTTAGTAACTAGACTCCTAGTATTTTTGATGTCATAAATGGGTTCTGGCTGGATGCCATAATACTGCCTAATAACTTTCAGAAGTGATGAATAACCCTAACAGCTTGTCCACTCTGGTGACATTACATCCCTTAACCAGAGGCAAACAGAAGAAACCTGACTTGCCCACACCCACAAGTATCTAGTGGAGTTGCAGTGCTGAAAACGCACTGTCCCTGCACATTGCCAAGGCCTTTGCTATTGTTACTGAGTTTTCGTTGAGTAACTACTACTTCAATTGCTGTATCTAATTAAAACAACTTCTAAAGTTTTAAACCATTTTTACCATCAGGATTATTTTTCTGGGAAGGAGGTCAGTAAACCCACGTTGCCATTCAAATGTGGAGCCTCCAGTGTGGCCCAGACTGGCTTTTTGGTTCCCCGACATGAGTACCTTGGTAATGATTGTGTGTGTGTGCTATCATGCCTAGCTTTGGCATTTTAATGATTTTTTTTGGGGGGGTATTTTCCTAGAGATAACTCCAGTGCTAATCGTTTTCATTTTATTACTACTATAATATGAACAAAACATACACTACAGCTACCAAGCTTCTGGTATTTCCTGATTTCTTCTATGGCATAAACTCAACAAATGTAATTTCTGCCAGCTGGCCAAAATTCTAATCTTTTATATAAAAATTTACCCACATCTTTACCTTTTAATCATTCCTTCAGTGGGTTGTCAGGTATAATTTTCCTTTCTACTTAAGTTTCTTTAGCAACTTTCTTAAAGTGGGTTGACTGAAAATGTATTTTGTAGGTCTTCATTAATCTATGAGTATCTTTATGTCAGTTATTTTGAATTCTTTCCAACCTGTATTATTGTTCATGATGAGGACTTTCTTTTTCCTTCCCAAATTTCTTCAAGTTTGGCTGACATTTTCAATGGGTTATATCTTTTTAATCATGATTTTTTATTAAAAATTGAACTGTAGGTTAACTATTTAAAATCAAAGTTAGTCAGTTTGCAGCTATTCTTTATTTGCTTCCAAGATGCCTATTACTCATGCTGTGTATCTGACATTGGCCCACAGACTGCAGTATGTAGCTCAGCTATAAGAAAAACAGAAGGCCTTCCTTTTAGGAATACTTAAAAGATTAGAGTTCCATTTACTTTTTAAGATTTAGTTTACTAATGACCCTAGTTTTCAAATGTGTTATGTTTACTTCCTCTCAGAAATGGTATAGGGGTAGGGACATAGATTTTTCCAATGTAAGAGGTGACAACAGTGAGCTAGCAGTACAAGACATATTAGGTAATGAATTGAGTGTTTCCAGCTGCAAAGTCAGAAGTCTCCTCATGAAGTGACTGAGAGTGTGATCGATGGTAGATTGCAGTGCTCTTCTGGATAAGACAGTATTTATAAAAGTACAGATGTCATCTTTAATGGAACAAAAGCAGCAGAAAAGAGGAAACTGAGTCATGAGGAGATGGCTATACTTGCTTTCTGAATGACAACACATTTTTGTTTTTGTATTTTTAATCACAATAGACTTTAGGTATTTTTTGGCTACATGTTATAGACACTTTATAAGAACAGAGCTATATCAACTAAAGGACAACCTATAAATATAATTAGTTCTGCACTAGCACAAAGTTAACAACATAGATTACTTTTATCTCTCTCCTATAGTCAAATTCTAACCTTCCTTTACAAGTCTGAAAATAAATGTGTCATTACCAACAAGGTACAAATAGCACAAAGGCAAGAATAAGTGCTTTAGGTCTAGTTATTATGGCATATCCTTCTAATATATATATATATATATGATATCTAATAATATATCTAATTATATATCTGATAATATATATATCAAGTTTATTATAAAAAGCCTACACATACAATATTTCAAGTCTCTTAAAATATATTCATAATGAAATGTGTAGAAAGAGACATTTCAAAGTCATAGCAGTTACTACTGTTACAGTATTTAATCATTTTTACAATAGGTCTGTTGATCCATTTCAATTAAATTTGTTCCCACCAACATCACAATTCTTTCTGAATTTCAGTTAGAGCACAAGCAAGTTGCTTAATTTTTCTTTCGATTACTTTTTTGTTCTTGCATGTTTCTTCCAGAAGTCCTCGCATTTCTTCTTCAACTTGGTGAACCTAAACCAACGTATACATTTTACATTTTAATTTTCTAAAAAAAAAATTAGGTGCATTTTGAAAAGTCAATGATGTATTTTATATACTCTATAATTTGTGATTCATTAAATGAAGTTAGTAAGTTGCAACTTTTTTCAAATGATAAAATGGAAAAGTATATAAAGTACTTTCATGTGTATTACCTATTTAGTTTCCTCCTGAAAAAGATAGAGCAATGTGTTTTAACTGCAGTTTGAGCTTAGAAAATGTGAAATTCCTGTTTTACAGAGAACAGAAATCCATTTTCTGATTCCATCATTCCACTGCCCAAAGCTGTCCGTTAATGCTGAGTTCAACGTAAACGCCCACCCTTTAAATACTTCCAACTCACATAACTTCCTGCCCAAAGCAATCTCTTTAATCTGGTTCCTCCAGCATTTTGAAAAGTTCTGTTGGGGTTCTGTCTTTCAGCTTGGAAATATAATTTTACCGTTCATTCTTGGCCCTCATTCCCCCAAGACCCCTGTATTGCACAGAACAGACTTCTGCTTGATTCTTCTATGCAGTTCACTATGTCTGACGCAGCTACTATGACCACTTTTTCTGCCATGTCATTCTTCATCCTCTTAATACAGAGCTCCTAATTTCTTTTCCCTTAGAAAATGACTTTTCCTAATTTACTTTTAATTTTTTAGATTTTATGTGTATGAGTGTTTTGCCTGCATATATGTATGTTTACCACAATCATGCTTAGTGCTCATGGAGGTCAGAAAAGGGCACTGATCCCATGGACCTAGATTTACAGTTGGTTGTGAGCCACCATGTGGATGCTGGGGATCAAGCTTGGGTCCTCCAAGAGCCTAGTGCATTCAGCCTCAGAGCCAACTCTCGAGCCCTAACCTTTCCTAATTTAAATTGTTACCTGTCTGTGATACCTCGGGATCTGTACACTTCCTGTGCCTGATTATTTCAAGCTCGGGTTCTATTTTTCTAGCTTATTTTTAAATTTAAAGTAATTATGTTGCTTTAGTACACAAGACAGATTTATGTCATTAGAGCAGAGACTGTAGGATAACTCATATTCTAGTTGGATGGAAGGACCCACTTAATCTTATAAAAAGGAGCCAATCGGTGAATCCAGCTCTATCAGGATCAGGTAGAATTAAGCATCCATATCCTTTCGGTTCATTTCAGAGCCTTGGGTACAGCAACTACTTTCTTAGTTAAATGGTAGAGATCTTCAGGATGATTAGGAGCAAGGTCTTTGAACTTAAGAATTCTCAAGAACTTATTACATCATGAAACAGACTTGTGCAGCACCAGAGATTCCCTCAGGATCATCCTGAAAAGAGAGGCTTGTAACTTCTAACACAACACAAACTTGAACATGTGATAAACCTCAGGAAGCAAGACTCTCCTGAGTTTCCTGTCTGTTAAAAATCAACAAAAGAAAGCATTTCTTCAACACTTTACCAAATCATGTTGGTAGTAGGTCCAGCGTTATACTTTCAGCCAAAATCCTCATTCATGTTTTATTTGGTATTGTCCACAGTACCTTTGTATCATGTTAAATACCTGCCACTGCCACTGACTTCATTCAAATGAAATAACTCAGTCATTATGCCCTTAACTATTAATTATGTAAGACCATTCTGTCTCTTTAGGATCCTAAGAGTAATTCTACTTTAATCACATTCTAATTGAGAATAACTGTGCCTCTGTCTCTTAAGACTTATTTATGTGTGCACATGTTGGTACATGTCTGGATGGGTATGTGAATGTGTGCTCAGGCCAGATTAGGGCACTGGACCCCTCAGAGCTGGAGTTATTGGCATTTACAGGGTGTGACAACCTGGACTTTGTTATGTGGGTGATAGTATAAGAACTCTGGGCCTCATGATTGTTCAGTGATCTTACAGCTGAGCCATCTTTTCAGCCCCTCCCTCAATTTCTGGAGGGATAACTTTCTGTTTAGCCCAGCCTGGCACGAACATTTTCATCTTCCTGCCTCATCTCAAATACTGAGATTATAAGATAAGCACACCACCGTGCTTTCTGTTCTTGAAGGTTTTTTGTTTACTTACTTCTGAATCTTATGTACCTTAGTTTTTGTTTGCTTTTCATACTACCTGAAAAACAATGAAGTTTTTTGGTTTTTATTTTTGTTTGGTTTTCTTCCAGACAGGGTTTCTTTGTGTAGCTTTGGAGCTTGTCCTGCAACTCGCTCTGTAGACCAGGCTGACTCTAACTCAGAGAACTGACTGCCTCTGCCTCCTGAGTGCTCGGATCAAAGGCATTGCTACCACTGCTCAGTTAATGAAAGTTCTTAAGTATTTTTGAATCTCAACAGAATGGTCATATCAGAATATTTGTGTGACTGTTAAAGTATCTTGGTCTGACCCATTAAAACACCTGATGTCTGATTTGGCAGCAACAGAAACTCATTCTCATCAAGATGACAGAGCTGATTGACTTAAACCCCTGTGAATAGGGAAGTGATTGCTGAGAACTTCCTCAAGGCAGTGGTAGACTGCATTTACACTTTCCCTTGCCATGACCAAAGGGATATTCATGGGAGACTGCCAAGATCATGGACAGGTGCAAACGGTCCATGAAAACTTACTACTACTCAGTTCACTGGCGTTATTACCTATAAATGACCCAAGTATTGTCTGGATTCATGACGGCTTTAACAACATCTTCTTTAGTAGTTACATCATTAAAATGTGTATCCTCTTCTCTTTTAAAATTTCCGAAAATCTAATTTAACCATAAACATCTAATAATGATTATTAAAGTAAATCTTAACTCACAGTACCTTTAAATTTGCACAATTAACGTATTTCTGCTTCTCTCTTGCTAGTTGTACTATTTCAACTTGGTGAGCTTCAACAATTGCATCAACTTGTTTTTTAAAGGCATCGTCCATGCTTTGAAGCTTTTCTATTGCATCCCTTTAAAAAGAAAAGCAGAAAATACCCCTAGGCATATGGGTACACAGAGAGATTATATGTGGACTTTATCTTGTGTGCAGTGAAAAGTCATCTGCAGACTCTGTAATTAATAATACTCTGCGCCTTGAAATCAAAACCAGCCATTAAACTGTAATACCTATTGTTCAGAATTTCAATTTTATAAGTTATTTTAATAATATTTATGTATTGCAAGGTTAATCCTGCTGAATATTTTTTAGAAATTAACCAAAAGTGGTAGTTAGCTACACATTTTCTTTGATCTCTTTTAAAACCATTACTGGTCCTCAGTTTGTGCAGGCGAATTGCAACTTAAATCTACACTGCTCTTGGCAGTCAAGTGACTGGTCTGAGTTCCATTTACACCTAGTAAGATTTTATTCAGATAGTGACAGTAACGTTAGTAATAAAATGCTCATATAGTAATAATTACTGTGCTTCAGGAACTATTCTATAGGGAGAAATATATATCTATAAATTCATAATGACTTATGAAGGGGGAACTATTACTTTATATTTTATAAATGGTATGAAAATAATATTTTAGCACATTAATTACACCTTCCATATCTTTGGCATTTTTTCTTTCTTTACATGTATTTCACCCATGCCAGGGTAGTATGGATGTTTAGAGAAATCCCATATCCTTCATGACTTAATGCTTACTTTTGTAGCTCAAGACTTTTGTCTCTCTCTGCTTTAAGTTTCCTTTCCTTGTTTTCAAATTTTTCTTTTACTTCTTTTACTTGTGTTTCAAGATGACAGAGTAGTTCTCCTTTATCGTGCCATTTCTGACTTAGTGTACTAAAAAGATAAGATATAACTTTGAAAGTAAGTGAGGAACATGAGATCATTAATCTAAAGCTCTCTCAGTGGCAAGTATTGTATAATACCTGTAAGCTTTTCTGATTTCTTCAAGTTCAAATTCCTTTGTTTTCAACTGCTGTTTTAGTTTTTCCTTTCTCTCATTGTGTCTTTCTAGTTTTTCCATTACATTATCTAGTTGTGAACATTTTTCATTAAGTTGTTCTTGAGTGCATTTTTCTATGAGAGTGATCTTTTCTTGTAGTAATTTGATTTGCTCATCTTTTTCTTGTAAACACTTAAAAAAAAAACAGTAATTTATTTTAGATGTTGCATATGGTCCAAGTTAAGACCTAAAAGGATACAAGGATACTGAACATAAAACATTAAATTTTGTTATTCCTAATCTTTTACTGATACCTCATATTTTGTTATTTCAAAGACAATAATAAGCCAGGCACAGTGCCACATGTCTTTAATCCCAGCACTCAAGACAGTGACAAGGTGATCACTGTGAGTTTCAGGCTAGCCCAGTTCCTAGCTAGGCAGGAATACATAGACCCTGTCTCAAAAAAAAAAAAAAAGTTAAAAACAATAACAACAGATCAAAGTAAAATTCAAGTTAGTAACTATCAGACAGTTTTTTAAGATCAAGATCACAAACTTTAGAAGGAAACATGATATTCTCTCTTTAAGTATTATGAAATATAAATTATTATTTTTCAAACCTGCCACCAGCCTTTTCCCAAAAGAAAATATTAAACTTACAACTTTTAGTTTTCTGATGGTTTCAGTTTGGTCCTCGATGACTTTGCACTTTATTCTCAATGCATCACAGTCACCTTCGTGGGCTTTTCTCAGGGATTCGTTCTCTCTATATAAACTTTCAATTTGGGCTTCTAATTTCCCACGACTCAGGGCTACGGACGAGCCTAAGAAACAATTACCACCAATTAATACACCTTGGACACTTTTGTTCTTTATGAAAACCTAACCTAATAAGGTGAAAAACAGAAAATATTACTTAAAATGCAAGGCATACAACAATCCAAATCAACAGGACAAAGCCTTCTAAACAGTTCATTTATTGTAAACCCTATATAGGTAAAATGAAGCAAACACAACCACATTAGAAATTACTATAGAATAGATAAGCAATGCTTTATTTTGACTAATATCTATTAATAATTTTTAAGCTATCTGTAAATGTCTAGACAGAATATTTATTTTCTTTTGCTGTAAAACAATCAGAAAGGGAACAAGACCAAGGATTTACCTAAAATCTAGTGGTTTTCATTCATGCACAGTTTTACTTCTATCCATGCAAAAATACTATAAATGTCACAAATATGAATACTCATTTTAGATGCTATTAATATTAATATGGAATAGAATCTCCACAGTATCCCATGAAAATATACAATTTTAATGTTTTTATGTATTGGTGAAAAATAAATTCAAATAGAAAACTCAAAGTATCAAAGCCTACCATTCCCTCAGCTGCTCTTGAGTGCCCTCCTTTCTGCAGCAGCTATAGGCATGTACTTCTGTGCCTGACCACTTTAACAACTTAACTGCTGAAATGATTGCTTACTTCCTGAGAGGCCTATGCTCCTGTCTGGCTGCTAAATGCATATTTATCCTGCCAGATAAAGCACTGCTTTTATTTTAGCATTGGGAGGCAGGGAAGCACCTTTTTACCCCAATATCCAGATGCATTGATTTCACACAACAACTATTTTCCATTTAAAAACTTGAGACTTACCCTGATGTACCATTTCGTGTCCCCATACTTTTCTTTCTGTCCTTAAACCATAAATCAGCGACTCCTTGGCTGCTAGCTCAGAAATAAGCTGGGTTTTTTCATGCTTAAGAATTTCTATTTGAATGCTCTTCTGCTTGTCATCTTCAATCAAAATTTGAAGAGTGTTCATTTGATTCTGTGTACCCCCAAACACAAAATCACCAGTTATTTCACTTAATTATAAACATTAAAATTACATACTCTATACATTTTTATTAGAGTACTTCTTTCTTTTTCATATCTTATGAAAAAGTGCTCTTTAAGCAATTAAAAAGTAAACATTATCAAAATTTATACCAAAAGTTTTAAGACCCAGATTATAAAGTAAAATGCTAACATCTAAGGCTTCTATAATCGCTAAGAGAAAAACTGAACCTTTACAATTTTCAAAATTGTAAAATATTTAACAGTCTACAACTTACCAGAAGTTGAGTTCTTAGGTGAAATAGCACAAGTATTAATAGACATGAATGTAAAAGCTATTGAGTTTAATTGTATCTGAAATTATCACTACTACCCACCATTCAATTAATACCAGGAATACAAGTGGTGTTTCTCAAGCCTTAACACCTTTTGAGTATCACTTCTCCAATTTTTGTTATGTCAGTGTACAACTGGTAACACCTTTATGAAAATAAGTTTACTTAAGTAATTTTTTTACATATCTTTATTTATTTTTGAGACAGACTCTCACTATGTAGACCTGATGGTTCTAGAACTTGAAATGTAGACTATGGGGACTCTGGTTCACAGAGATTCCTCTGCCTGCCTCTACCTCCCAAGAGCTGGGGCTGAAGGTGTATGCCACCATACCTGGCCTTAGATATTTTGATGAAAGCAATATCATCTATGAAATCATTAACTTCATTACACCTACGTTCATCATGAACTTCACAATGGATGACTAATACAATCTCCAAGTTAATCCTGAGTGCTCCTAAAAGCCACTGTTCACACTTGACGTGGGTGTGAAAGCTCCAAGGAAATGACACTGCGGATTCTTGCCTGTAAATTTGCTGCTGCTTCCTGTTTCAATTTGGAGACTTCTGAGAGTTTTGTCTTTTGTTCCTTCACCATACAGGTGAGATCTTTAATTAAACAGCAAGATTCATTTTCTTTGCGTTGAGCCCAAATAAGAGCATGTTTGCTCTTGGCTAACTCAGTTGCAACATCTTCAAAACCATCTTGAACCTGTATTTCAAAAATATATCATAAACAGGGGCTTCCTAACAGAAACAATTTACCTTTTTCATTTTAAAGCCTTGAGTTTTAGCAAAATAAACTCAGATGTAGTTTGCTTCAATCTACTAATTCCCAGAAGATAAAACATAGACCCAGGGAGTTTACTGCTCATTTGTCTAGTTACCCAGGAACCAAGATTCTTTTGTATAACACATACTCATTGAGCAATTGCTTTATGTCAGCCACTGTTTGGCACTACAAAGACTAACCTGTCTTCTAGTAGTTAGGGACTAACAATATACCAACAGGAAGAAACTATGCATCATGAATATATATAGAATGCATATGGTTTTACTGAAAAAAATCGTAGAGGGATATAAAGTATTATAACAGGAAAGTTCAATTTTAAATGACATTGTTATTGAGAGGTTAGCAGGAGATAACAAAGGATGTAAGTACGTAAGGAAGGTGTTCTAGGCAGGAAGGTGCTTCAAGGAGCAGTAACGGGCTGGTGATGTGAGAGGCATGGGTGAAAGGGAAGGGGACAACATGAAATCAGCTAGAATACAAAGAGTTCTGATTATTGTTCTGAGTAAAATGGAGGGGCAAAAGAGGTGAGGAGTGACATAATATCTAACTTATATTTTAATACAAAGGTGGTAAGAAAGAAGACTATACTAAAAGCATTACAAAAAGCTCTTGAGGTACTGGTTATGGAATAGCAGAGAAAGAGGGGTCAATGTTGGCATTAATTTTTGGCATAAGCACTTAGAAGGCTGGAATTAGCATTAATGGAGATGGAAAGACTGTTGAAATAAAAGTGGAGGAATTTCAGTTCAATTGAAATACTAAGCAGGAGGCCATCTTTGGTCTAGGAGGGTATGAGGCGTGGGGGTGGGGTAGGGGAGCTGTCAGCTTTGTTGGCCCCTTCAGTACAAGTTCAGGTTTCCCATTCACATTCTGATCCTCACTTTATCTCACCACTTATTAGCATAATAAGTTTTTCCAACAGCAATAAAAAATAGCTATTATTTACATGAAAAAATAAAAGCTCCGAGAATTCAATTTTATAAACATCATATAGTCATCTAAATAGGGGTAGATTTCTAAAATGTGGTCCTCTTATCAGTAGAGCTATATATCAATCCTCACATCTTTAAACCTTTTGGCTTCAACAGTTAAAGCAATACGGAATTCGTTTTCTAAATCCAGATACTGCTGGTTTAATATATCGAGTTTTTCTTGGTATTCTTTTACTTCTTGATCATGCTTTCTTTCTTCTTTGGACATTTCTTTGGCTAATGCCTCCTGGAACTCAGTTTCACTGAAAAACTCCCTAGTTTCAATTTCTTTCCTGGAATGAAAACCAAAGCAATGTAGTTCAAGTAAATTACATTTCAAAGGTCTTTTAACATTTTGCATCATTGCTTCAAAACACAGAAGTGATACTTTAATTAGAGACAGAGAAAATTCATAGTCTACTGCTTTAGAGAATACCAATTAATTTTGCTAATAGCTATTTGGAAGTCAATCAGCATAGCCTCCTTTGTATTGGATGAGCAACTTTGTCAAGCTTGCAGAAATGTAGAAATAAGACTCTTCATGGTAACACTAAAGTCACACATTTTTTTAACTGCTAGCTATTTCTATAGGACTGAATCTAATAGAAGGGCAAACATGGTATTTTCCAAGAGTTAATTCTGGTTTTAATCTTTTTTTTTCTCATTACATTGATTTGTTGATAGGTTACATGTATGTGTGTCATGCACAGAAATTGATAGGACGACACCTGAGGGAGTCCGTTTTCCTTCTATCATGTGTGTTATGGTGGAAATCCCACCCAAGCCCCTTCCCCCAGAAATGCTCAAGACCACTCCCACAGGGTATTTAAACTGTCTCCCAGAAAATAAGACTCCTGTTTTTTTCAGACTCCCTTTTCCATCTCCCCTCTGAGGGGCTGCAAGGCCTTCCCAGGATGTTGTATCCATTAAATGTGGGCTTTTTCTAATTTGGTTTGATTTGGATTGCTGCATTGGCAGAGAGGCTTATCGGGGTGTAGAAACTTTTCATCTGGAGGTTCCACCAAGGGGGCTGTTTTTGGACCCAAGGCTTACCAGTAGACACATTGCATTAGGCTTTGGGTTCAGGCATAGACTTGTGAAATGGACACCTGCCCTTTGAAGCCAGATCCCAAATGCTCCTGGGCTGCCTTTTACAGAATCTTTTAAACTGGGGCTGTCTGACACCGTATGTCCCGAATGCCTGTTTTCTCTGTGCACTAAGACCTGGCCTCAATATGCCCTTGACAATGGGACATGATGGTTACTGGAGGAAACTTTTAAATTTTCCATCCTCCTTGAAATTTTTTGCTGATGTGGGGACAAATGACCAGAACCCCCAAATGCCCTCCAGTTTGGAATACTGCTCTCCTCCCCTTCCCTTGGTAGCCAGTGTCTCACAGTCTGGTCTTGCTGGCTAGGGGCAAGGCAACACAAGATTCCTGCCTATCTGGGAACTAGGGCCCTAAAAATTCTGTCCTGTCCCTGCTTCCCGAGACACTGGTCCCTCCCCCAGCCCAACCCTGCCTGCCCAACGTCCTCCTAAGGGGCCACGCCACAGAGGTCTAGCCGGACCAACACTGGCAGTCACTAAGTCTGGGCTGAGTCAGTCCTCTGCCAGGCTGAGTAGTTCAAAGGCTGGCACAGTCTCAGCTGCCAGTGTTGGTAAGGCTAGACCTCTGTGGCGTGGCACAGAGGATGAGCCTGCACAGGGACATTCTGATTTCCAGTGTCCAGGTTGAAGGCAGATGGAGTATGGCTTCGTCAGCGGCTGAGGGTCCAGGCAATATCTTGCTAAATGACCATCCTGCCTGAATTTGTTGCAGGCTCCTAGTGGAGTTGGCTTGGGTTAAGCTCTAGCGGGATGGAGCTACATGGAGTTCCACTTCCCATGTACTCCTTGTAGCCTACAGGATGGCAGCTACTGGAATGTTTCTTCACTCATACAATCCACCAAGTATGATCACTCCTGACTCCTCCCTCTCCCACATAGTTCCTTGTCAGCAGGAAGAAGCCAGACACGAACCCATGAGCTGGTGTCCATATACCCAAAGAGTCTGGAATGTTAAGGTGGAATTTCCACCTCAGCCCCTGGCATTCATATACCCAAAGAGTCTGGGATGTTATGGTGGAAATTCCATCCAAGCCTCCCCCATCTCCCAAACCCTGCTGCAGCTCAGAAAGCCTGCCAAATGATGATCCTATCCCCAGAGATGCTCCAGACCACTCCCACAGGGTATTTAAACTGCCCCCCAGAAACCAGACTCGTGGTTTTTCTGGTCTCCTCTCTGGGTGGCTGGAAGGCTATCTGGGAGCTTTGTATCCATTAAATGTGGGCCTTTTCTAGTTTGGTTTGATCTAAGATTGCTGTATGGCAGAGAGGCTTATCCGGGTGTAGAAGCTTTTCAATGTGGTTCCTAGGAACCACACTAGTCAGGCTAAGCCACCTTGCAGGCCCTCCATGAGTCAATTCTGTCAGACTTCACAAAAGGGCAGTTGCTGGGTGGGAAGGAGGGGAAAAAGAACCAGAAACTTCCTTTTATACTTTTGAATGCCAGTATTGTCTTAAAACATGTTTCATTCACCTGTGTTCCTGTTCTTTCAATGCCAGAAGTTCATGAAGTTGTTGCACTTGTTCCTTTTCGTGGTGCAGGGAAGTTCGAAGTAAGCTTATTTCTCGATCAGCAGCTGAGGCTTTGAGCTCCACCTCTTGGATAAGTTTCATCTGAGCAAAGCACATGAGATTACAACAGTCACATAACTCTCATGTCCACTCCCCACCCCTGCTCCTAAGGTCTTAGAGTCAGTCAGCAGTCTCTCTTGAGTGAAGTACAAATGGTTACAGCACTTACACAATCATCTCCCTGTTTCTACTTTACATTTGGTCAGTTTATTTAAAAGGCCAAGGGCAGTTTCATTAGTTTAAAAGAAAAGCCACAGGGCTAGCAAGCTGTAAACACTGGCAGCTGCCTGGAGGAGGAAGACAGAGGAGGAAGAGAAAAAGCCATGCTTTTTTGAATTAGGCATGGCGGTCAAACTAGCAGGCTGCCAGCCACATGGTGAGTGAGAGAGAGCTTTGAGGCATGCTGAAGCTCAGAGAGATAGGGAGACCATGACTAAGGCTAGTAAATCTGGAGGAAAAAAAAAAAGACCGGAAAGAAAAGGGAAAGTCTTTACATAGAAAGGCTACCAGACCCAAGAGCTTCAAGACCTAAGAGCTTTGTGGCCACCCCAGTAACTGTCCCAGATTTTATTTTATGCTAGCACCTCTAAATGTTGATTAAATGGCAATACCTAATAACTAGGCTGTTTCCAAACCTTATTGAATTAAGAATGCTATTGTAGGCAGGTATTGGTGGTGCATGCCTTTAATCCCAGCATTCCGGAGGCAGAGGCAGGTGGATCTCTGTGAGTTCGAGGCCAGCCTGGTCTCCAGAGAGAATGCCAGGATAGGCTCCAAAGCTACAGAGAGAAACCCTGTCTAGAAAAAAACAAAAAGAGAAAGGCCCACACACACACCCACACACACACACAGAGAGAGAGAGAGAGAGAGAGAGAGAGAGAGAGAGAGAGAGGTAGGTAGAGAGAGGTAGAGAGAGAGAGAATGCTATTGTAAGACAAAGTTGAAGCATCAAATATACTAGCACCAATTATTGTTCATTTGCATCACTTTTTTGGGGGGGACAGTGATTCCCTGCTAAAAGCATGAAAGTGAAAAATTCTTCAAGTACTCCACGTTATCTTTTCAAAAATATGACTCTATCTACCTGCAATATTTCCACCAACTCTTGTAACTGGTTCAAGTAAGTGTTGGTAGAATAAAGACTTAATCCACAGGCTGTAAGAGTACTATATTAAAAACAACAGTGACTTAATTTCTGCATAGAGCCTGGCATCTTTTGAGCTTACTATGGTATGTAATTACTTCCAGGGGGGAAGCCATAAAGCCATTCATCCACATCACAGACTGACACAGACTGTGGGAAGCCAGCTCCCAGATCTGTTCCAGGGCAATAAAGGGAATGCCTCAGAGTTGGGGGAGGGGGCTTAGGAAAGACTCTTATCTGAGAGTTGCTAAACTTTTCTATCTCAGTACAACCATATGCTTTCTGCTGGTAACTTAAGAAAAAAGGAACAAGTACACACTTTCCTGATGGTAACCTTCTCTTTTCCTTCAACTTAATCTCTTTCTTGACAATCTCTCTTTATCACTTACATTTTTCTACATTCAGTCACATCTCTTTTCTGTATCATTGCCTCTTCCTTGCCTCCATAGTTACAAATCTCCACACAGCCACAGCTTTACAGCAGTTCTTTCACACAGCCTCCCCCCCCCCACACACACACTTCTATTCATTCTTTACAAACCTTCTCATTCTCACACTTCTTCCACAGTAGCATTCTCCTGCTCATCCTTACACAGCTTCTTCCTATACACAGATGCTGACCCACTCTTCTTGCTCTCCCCATCCCCACTGCTACTCTCACAGCCAAATTCGGAACAATTTTAAGTTACATTTTCAGGCCCAACTCATTCTTAAAACCCAAGCTAAGTCACATACTTTCTCTTAGGCTAGGAATGTCACATTGACTGGCCAGTGAGCAACCGTGGCCTTGCACGTAGCTCTAAGTAGGTGATGGTTCCCACATAGTAAACAATTGGCTGAACCTTGAGGTTGGGGAATATGTGCAGACTAAAGTTGCTTCAAAGTCTGACCTTGAATCAGCAAAACAATACCTGGGAAAACGACCTCACGTATATGTCTCTACAGACAACCAGATGGTCTCCAGGGGCAACCAGCCTGCTTTGAATCTGCTCTGAAGTCTAAAGTTAGTTGTGTAAAAAGGCTGTCTTTGTGACTGAGAATCCTGTGTCGATCTGTGTATGTAAAATATCCTAACATTATTTCTATTCATCAGAATTATTTGGGATCATCTTCGGGCCATCCACAGCTATATATGTGCCCAAAAGATGCAGTATTTTCACACACAAGCAATGGGAATACACTCAAAGCTATTCTTAAGAAAGAAATAAAGTTCTTAGTGAAGAAATGAAGTGACTCATGAGAGAAATTACAGACAGGAGCAACTGGTTTCAATTGCCAATGACCCTACAGCATTGCCAGATGGGGCTCCCCACCAGGGAATAATGTGTCTGATGGGTCCACTTGTTAAACACTAGTTGTTGTCACTGCTGTACATTCCCACAGCCCTCTGCAATGGATTCATTCAGAGATACCTGTGCCTGCTGCTGCTGTGCTTTCTGCTTCTCCATTTTTTCCAATGCCTTTTCCAGGGTTCTCAAGTGTCTGATGTGATCTTCCTGTTGATCCCGTGCTTTCACTAATTCAATAGTTAGTTTTTTAACTTCATTTTGGAGTTTGTGAACTATAATTTCAAGTTGAGCCTTGGAATTTCTCTCCTTAAAAATAGCATCCTTTAGCCTGAAGCATAAATTATATACACAATGATAAGAATGTTTCATGTATAAAAATAACAAAAAATGTCATCAAAGTTAAGGCTTAAAACGGTGGTCAGCTCTCTCTATAGCCTGGTCTACAAGAGCTAGTTCCAGGTTAGCCTCCAAAGCCACAGAGAAACCCTGTCTCAAAAAACCAAACCAAACCAAACCAAACCAAACCAAACAAACAACAACAACAACAAAATGGAGGTCATTACTGAAGTACTGTCAAACTCCAATTACACACACACACACACACACACAAAAAAAAACCCAAAAAACAAAAAAAACCAAACTGGGCCCACACCTTTAATCCAAGCACTAGGGAGGCAGAGGCAGGTGGATCTCTGTGAGTTTGAGGCCAGCCTGGTCTTCAAAGAGAGTTCCAGGACAGTCTCCAAAACCTACAGAGAAACTCTGTCTCTAAAAAAAAACAGAAAAGAAAAACAAAGCAAAAATACAAAGCAACACATGCATTTGTTCAGACTCTGAAACTAATGTTTTGCTGTAAAGGGACATTCATCAAAACTAAAGAAACTTAGGTAAACTTTTATTATTCTACAACAATACTTCACCCGTAGTGTGTTTCAGCTTTGGGCTAGATATGAACTTTTTAAAAGCAAATAAGGTATAGTCACTGCCCTCAACTCAGCTCAGTGTCAGTGTCAGGGAGACATATTTTAAGATCCACAATCAAGAAGATATTAATACCACTGGCTTTGAGATCTAAGAAAGAGGTGGCAGAACAATTATTTCTAGTTTTGGCAGCTGGCAGAGTATTAATGATACACCATTTACTAAGGCAACGAATACAGAATAAGAAGCAAGAATCTTCTTTGTTAGGATAGGCTAACCTGAAAACATGAGAAATATTTCTGCTAACTCATTAGATTAACAAGTCTATTGCCCAAGGGGGTTGAGACAATAAAGTTACTACACTAAATGAGATTCACTGCTTGATAGAACATTATTCTAGGGTGACACATAGCCATCCCACTTTATATTAAGGGCAATGGATATAAGGCACATACAAGAACATCAAGAGCTGTGAGGCATTAATCTGAGAATACCAATCATGGGTGTAGATAAAGCAGAGTCAAAACAACTGAGACTGCTTTTCAAGAGAGCAATGGACATGGACCATGGACCAGAGGTACAAAATGTAGATTGTATAAAGCTAAAGAGGAAGTGTGTTCCAAACATCCCAAAGTCAATGGAATCTGGCAAGCATTTGAGATATAGCTACCAATACACCACAATTAATACCTATACTATGAATGAAGCAAAATTTTTCACATGTAGCTCAAAACAAGAGATAAAGAATGCCAGGGTGGGCCTGGTGGTGCACACCTGTAATTCTCAGCACCTCAGAGGCAGAGACAGGTGGAGCTCTTTTAAGTTTAAGGCCAGGCTGCTCTGCTTAGTGATTTCCAGGTCAGCCAGAGCTACACACTGAGATGTTGCCTCAAAAACTCGATACAACACAACACAACAAAAAGAATGCCAACACTAAAAGGAATTTCAATTATAATGCAAAGGAAACAAAATTTAATAAAACAACTGCTAAAATACACTTTGCTTCATTCTCAAGAGGAGAGGAATACCGTCTTCAGTCTCCCTGAGACTCATGCTGGGCTCTCTATACAGCTGGCATGTAACAGGGATCCTTTTCTGAGGATGTCTGATCCCTGTTCCCTTTCCCATGCCACTCTCATCTCTGACCACTAAGGACCACAGAATAATGCAGTGAGAGCTCAGCTGACAAAATCATGAAGCTAGCCCACTGGGACTATTTCGATAGAGGAAGCCCACATGCAGGGCAGTGGGAGTACTTGCTTTATGAATAGTCACTGTCCTTACTATAAATTCCTTGTGAAGCCATAGAGCTCCCTTTCTATGGTGAGATTTATCCCAAAAATTCCAGCAGTGTATTAATTGATACTGGTCACGTTTTCCCCTATGCACTGGTACACTGGATGACTCCCCTCAGCTATTTGTGATTCTGGCAAGAAAGCAATCACACAATGGGGTAAGATAGGTTTATAGTAAAGAAAGTACTGCAGTGGGAGGTGGGGAAACAACAACCCTCAAACAAATAGGAGACTGAATCGACAAGAAAAAATAAGAAAAGAATTAAAAAACTTGGCCTATGTGGTACCAAAGCTAACAGAAAATGAGTATATGATAAGAGACTAGGATTCGACGGGCGTTGGTGGTGCACGCTTTTAATCCCAGCACTCAGGAGGCAGAGGCAGGTGGATCTCTGTGAGTTTGAGACCAGTCTGGTCTACAAGAGCTAGTTCCAGGACAGCCTCCAAAGCCACAGAGAAACTCTGTCTCGAAAAACCCAACCTTACAGAGAAATTTGCCACTGCCAACCCTTTAAAAATACGGCACTTTACAAAGCATGTCACCCTCACCCCACACTGTCTTTTCTTATTCTTTACTTATAATACTCACCTATCTGACACTTGCCAGTACAAGACATCAAGTATATGTACCCCAAATTCCTCATTTATGTATCAAGAAAGCACTAAATCTTCAAATCAAATGAAAGCCATATATATTCATTTTTCCCCCCTAACTTTTGCCATTCTGAGTCCAGAAATCTTCATGCTCTGTGACACACCTTCACGGTCATACTTTTGCCTTACCTATCTGTGGTAATGATAGCCAGGCTGTGGATATCGTTTTTCTCACTTGCATGCTTATGCAACTCATCGATATAATCCATAAGTTTCTTTTCAGCTTCCTCTGCTTTCCATCTCATCTCTCTCTCTTGGTCTAACTGTTCCAAGAGGGACTAAAAGAAAATAGCAATGCTTCATGGATTTGGAAAAAGTTACCTAACTTCTCACTGCCTCAGTCTTTTCATTTATTTTACAGTAACAGCGCCTATTGTAAGAAGTCTCAGTGAGAATTAATGAACTTAAAGCACACAGAATAGCGCAGGGTACATAACCATATCAAATGAGTATTAGCTACTGTCAGGACAGTTGTCCAATCCCACTATTAGAGTATATTTTGTAGAGTGCATAGTAGAATAACCAGTACTCCCTAACATGTAAAATGAGGGAAAGTTTACCAATACATTAAGCAAGTCTTGAATTTTTAAAATAACTTGAACATCTCTGAATCCTTTTCCAAAGCTGGGTCTCAGGACAACGAAGACAGGCAGAATACTAATTTGAGAAAACATGGAGATTTCTTTTGATATTTGAATGGATATAGCAACCCCCTCAAACTAGGAACTATTTCTTTGGGAAACAGGAACTGGAAATTCCTAATGGCTTCTCCTTCCAGAAGAATATAACATCATTTCAAGTGAACTGACCTTTAGCAAAAGTAAAAGCAGTAACATTACGAAGTCTGGAAATTGGGAAAGATAAAACTACAAACATTTATTACTCATAAAAAAATGTTTAACTTTCTGGGAATTTGTATTTAAAACTAAGATTATTTTTTTCTTAATTTTCTAAACCATACCCGGTAAGTGTTGTCATCCGAGACACTGTTGTTGTCTATTTTAATTATGTCAGTCTTCTGCTCATCTAAGTCTCTTAAAGCATTACAGTTTACCAAAGATGATCTAACATATAAATCTTTAAGGTTAGGCTGTCTCATTTTTCGATTACAACTGCAAAGAATAAAATGCAGAAAATAATTCAAAGTACAGTTTTATAATGTTTTCCAATACAAACACTGATAGCCACATATGTAAGTAATATTTTTTTAAAAACATATTACGTAAGGGGCTGAAGAGATGGCTCAGCAGTTAAGAGCATTGGCTGTTCTTGCAGGGGACCTGGGTTCAATTCCCAGCACCTCCGTGTCATTTGTAACCCCAGTCCTAGGGGTCTGATGCCCTCTTCTGTTCATTAGTGAGCACCAGGACATGGTACAGACACACATGCAGGTAAAACACCCATACCTATACAATAAATAATCTATTAGCAAAAAAATATTAAGTAAAGTAATAGGAAGTTAATTTATACATTTTATAATGGGTGTGCTTTGTTGACTATTTAGAGTCAAGATTTTTAAAAAGATAATGATTTTATATGTGTAGTGCCCAACATATTCAAGATGAAATATACTATGATCATATAATACAAAAATGTGGAAACATCATTTAATTACCCTGTGGAACTTTAAAGCTAAAAATTGACACAATATAGCAGAATAAACAAATTCTATCGATAGCCAGAGTAATAAGAAATATATCCTTATTATTGGAGGACTGAGTGGGTTTTATACATGAACGTATATTTTCCAACTGGAACATTTGGAAAAATTGAAATAACAAAGAATACATTTTAAAAATGAATTATTCAGGAAAAAAGTGTAGTTTTTTCTGAATAGCGATCATGGCTAATACCCCTGCTATGAAAATAGAGACATCAGATTTTTACAATTACATGTCAAAGACAATCATTTGCTTCTGATCCTAGCTTAGCTGATAGTGTTTAGCTAGGTCCTGGTCTTCTGGCTAGATTTGCCTATATATAGAGTAGAAACTAGTCAGGAAAACACAGTGTATCATCCTAATTTCCCACTGTAAGTAATACATTGGCATTTTGATGTTATACATTTTTTAACCTTGGTAATGACAAAGAGAAAGCAATCTTTTATATGAATATACAATTTTTAAGTTTCTTCAGGGATTGGTTCCAGAACCCCACCCCTGCAAACACCAAAACATCTAAATGCTTAAGTCCATTACACAAAATGGCGTAGCATTTTTGTATATAATATGCATATTTGAGTATAATTATAATATCCAATAAAATATCCACCATAATACCTAATACAATTACTTTATTATACTATATTATCTAGGAAACAATGACAAGGAAAAACAGTCTGTGAATGTTCAATCAGGAGCAATATTTTCAACCTAGTGAAGGTTCATCTCAGTAAAGATGTAATTCTTTTTTTTTTTTATTTGATCAGCACTGGGTTGAATCCATGAATGCAGAAACTGTAGGATATCAGGGCAGATAGCTGACCAACTCTTAAGTGTCCAGGCTGAGAAGGAGAAAAATCTCCGATGTCAGTATACCCATGGGTTTACCACCACAAAACTATAAAGTTACTCCTGCCTGTGAACCTTATTTGGATTACTAAGACCAAAGCATGTACCTTCCAAAGGCAACATTGTTTTTATTGTGGTGCTTAATAGTTTGAATAGTTCTGGCATAATATGGGGTTTTTGTTCTTCTAGGAATTTTTCGAGTACACTCTTTTCTGTTTCCACAGTCACTTTCAGAAGTTACGTCTGTGTCTCTTTTTGCTCTGTGGTCTTTCTCGGGAACATTATCTATTAAAGAATTAGAAGTCTAAGAATATAAAAAAAAGAACAAAGAAATAAAGTCTGTTAAATGTTAAGACATTTTATAAGATTAAAGATTTATAAATTATGTATCTTTGAAACTGAAGGCAAGAAATCCAGCTCTGACAGAGGGGGGAAAAAAGAGCTTTTAGTAGCTCAAATCTCTTACAGACAATTACAAACTCTGGGAAAATGAAAAAAACAAAAACAGAAACAGAAATTAAAACTAAAGACATCAGAAGTGAAAAAGAAAAAAAGGTAAGACTAGTAAGACTTAGATACTTGCTGATACTTGCAAAATGTATCAGAATTAGATGATGTTTCAATCTGAGACTATCAGTTTTCTATGGAGAAACTGTAACAGCCAGGTATAAAAAATAAAGACTTTTGGGCTGAAAACCAGAGGTAATAAAAGGTAGTTTTTAAAAATAAATGGAAATATGAACTAATACTTAATAGACAAAATTAGAGTTTAAGTCAAATCAAATTAATGCTAAATAATGCCAATTTTTTTTTTTAGAAGACTAACAGAATCTAAGAGTCCCGACACATAATAAGTGTCCAGGATATATTTCAAAAGTGTTCACTAGGAAGATTTATAATGAAAAAGGCACATGAGAACAAAGTATTTTGGTATATGCCTGTAATACCAGAACTCCAGAAGCAGATAGAAGACATCAAGGTCAGTATGTGTTAAGGCCTCATCTTAAAAAACTAAGGAAGGAAAAACTAGAACCCACATGAACTGCTATTAGGGACAAAGAGTATTCCAGCAACTCTAATCCAAAATGTAAGATAGGGACAAGCAACTGCACAGATAGGTACATAACAAAAAGAAATCAAAACTTTACTATAATGTTCATAGTCATATCATTCAGTTGGCAGAGGAAAACTAGCCAAATGTCTATGAACTGATACCACATACACAAAGCAATAAAATATTATTTGGCAATACAAATACTAACACCTATGAAGGAAAAACATATCTCACTGTTTCCTACCATATATATTACTATATATAATTCTATGTTTGTAATATAGATATACTATCAATATCATGTTTTTAGCTGGTACTTAAGAGTGGCAAAATTTCCCATAATGACACAGTGAAATATCCCACCTTTTCTTTTTAATAACAGATAATTTCTACTTTACAATTTCTTAGCTACTTTTTCTTTAATAAACATATTTTGGGCTTCAGAAAAATAAAAATAAATTACTTCTTTGAGAAGCTGTAAGATTTGATTATCTAATTTCTGAAGTTTCATCTCATTCTGATAATCGTTTTCATGATTAATTTTTTCTGGTTCAGAAGATGGACACACAGATAAAAGAGAGGTCAAAACATTATCTTCCGGTGTACTGATAAACTCCTCCAATGTGGGCAATATATCCGTGGATGGTGTTGTGACCTATGACACAAAAACAAACCCAAGTCCTTTAAAGTTCGTATTCTAATACATTAACACTTGCAGGTTATCTTTCCTCTTAGAAAAAAACACCAATACTCTACCTCATCTTCACTTATATTCAGGGGGGAATCAGAAGAAACTAAGTTATCCAAAAGTCCTTCTAAGCACTGTAGGCGTGATGAGTTTATTTCTTCCAGATTTATTGGCTCACCAAATATGTTCTTACAATCTAAGATTCTCAGTTGCGGCAAAGTCTGGAGAATGATTGCTCCGTACCCTTGGAAACAAAGTGTTCAAAACCAAATCATAAGTATTTTAAAAAGATTATTTCAAAATTAAACCAAGCTGCTACATATATATTGCCTGAATGATAAATCATTCCCATGAAGCACTAACTAGGAACATTAAGTACTCAACATCTTTAACACACAATCAGTAAATACAGAAGAGATGAAGCATGCTCCCGTCCCATCCCTGATAAAGTTAAATCACTGAAACCACCTGGCTGAAAATTACCTCGAGATTATAAATGCATGAAACCAACAGCATTTTACTCTGAGAAGGAAGATAAGCAAGGCTTTTGCTTATTTTAATATGACCATCATAAAATGAAAAAAAATTGGTATTTAAGAGTGGCAGAATTTTCCATGACACATTAGTGAAATATCCCACCTTTTTCTTTTTAATAACACATAATCAGTATTAGGATATGCAATATTAAGTACTCAAGAAAAAGCATATTCATTTTTCATAAAGATAATTAAACAATGTCCCTGACAAATTAACATAGAAACATTCAATTTTGCTCAAGTTAATTTCTTTCCTTCTTTCATTTTTTTAAAATGTGTCTAGGCATTTTGGCTAAGTATATATGTAAGTATACATGTTTATGCAAGTGTGTGCCTGGTTCCCACCACAAAGGGAGTCAGAGATTGAGTTACAGATGGTTGTGAGTCAACATGTGGGGAATGGAAGAGCAGTCAGTGCTCTAATCCCTCAACCAAGTTCTCGTTCTCATTCATTTCCTCTCTCTCTCTCTCTCTCTCTCTCTCCCTCCCTTTTCCTCTCCCTCTCTCCCTTCCTCCCTAAGCATCCCCCTCCTTTCTTTCCTTTCCTTTTTTAAAGTGTACAGTTCAAGGGACAATGTGTGGAGTCATTTCTCTTCTTTTTCCAAGTGGGTCCTAGGAACTGAACTCAGGTCATCAGGCTTGGTGGCAAGCTATACCACCTCACTAATCTCTCAAGTAATTAATATACTAAATATTTCTCAGAAGGATCAAATAAATGCTCAGAAAGACAGAGAGAGAGAGAGAGAGAGAGAGAGAGAGAGAGAGACAAAGAAAGAGATCTAGAAAATCAGTGTTAGACCTTTTTTTTTTTAAAGATTTATTTTATGCATGTGAGTAATGTTTTAATGTATGGATGTGCCACATGCATGCCTGGTGACCACAGAAGTAAATAGAGGGCATTATATCACCTGAAACTGGAGCTGTGGATGGTTGTAAGCTACCATGTGGGTGCTGGGAAAAGAACACATAGGTTTAAGCTTTCAAAAGACACAATTAATAATGTATAAGTACACATGATGCATAACTGCAATCTCAACACTCAGAGAGTGGAGGGAGGGTTCATTGTTATTCTCCACTACACATTAAGTTTGAAGCCAATCTGGGCTACAGGAGATACTGTTATCAGGAGGGTAAAGGAAGGAAGGAAAAGAGGGAAGGAGGGAGGGGGGAGGGAAAGAGAGAGAAGGGTAGGTGGTCTGCTTATCCTTTATACTTGTAAAAATTTTTTTACTTTTTTTTTTTTTGAGACAGGGTTTCTCTGTGGCTTTGGAGCCTGTCCTGGAACTAACTCTTGTAGATTAGGCTGGTCTTGAACTCACAGAGATCGGCCTGCCTCTGCCTCCCAAGTGCTGGGACTAAAGGCGTGCACCACCACTGCCTGGCTTAATTTTTTTACTTTTTGAGACAACAGTTTCTCTGTGTAGCCCTGGCTGTCCTGGGACTTGCTCTGTAGATCAGGCCGGCCTGGAACTCACAGAGATCTATCTGCCTCTCCCTCCGAGTGCTGGGACTGAAGGCATATGCCACCACCACCCAGCATCATCCTTTATACTTTTAACAAAGAAGCAATTTAGTTTTTTCCAATAAATTCTTTATAATTATGTATTACTAAACATAATAAAAAACAAAAACAAACAACCAACTCCAAAATGCAAAGCTTAAGACTGAAATGAAAGGGAGACATGAACACCAACTTCAGGAAACAAAGTCTTTTACATTTAAGTGTTAGAAAAGTATCATATTAAATTAACTGTTTCCTACCTGGTATAAGACAGATAGGATTACCTTCTCCATCTTTCTCTAAAATGAGATTGGTTAGGAAGTGCAAGCCTACTGTACACTGAAGTAAGTGATGGATACTATCTATACAGTTACTATGTAGGTCAATGTATCTAAGTTTATACTTCAGTCCATGAAGAGACATCAACCCTGCAACAGGAAAAAAAATCTTTTAAGGCAAAGAATCAGCATATGAGAATAATTAGAGAAATTTTGTTAGTTCTAACCAGTAATTCTAAGAAATTTGAAAACTTTATAAGTCACTTTACTTTAATAAAAAACAGGTAACAATTTTAAAACCTTCTTAGACAATGCTGACCACATTGAAAAAAAAAACTGATTTTAACTTTTAAGATACAAGTTCTTACAATCCTTCATATTCAAATTGTGTAATGTAGTAGACACTAGTTGCTTTTATATTTAAATTAAAATTTAATTAAATATTCAGTCCCTTGCCCAACCAGTCATATTTCATGTCAATAATCACATCTGGCTACTGGTAGCCACAGAAAAGGGCACCACAAACAGAACGTTTCCATCCCTGTCTGGTGTTTTACTGGAACTACCTCTTTCTATGTGAGTATAGTGGTTAATTAATATTAAGCATAAGCCTCCTAAAGTAGGCTTTCCTCACTATAGCTTTTTCTGCTACTGATCATCCTCCTCTTTATCTCTTTTTACATGGGTATGGTTTTGACAGCAACAATAGTTCTGATAGAAGTCTATCAATTGGGTAAAACTGTTGGTCAAAACATCATTATTCTTTGGAGTTTCCCAACCCTGAGCTAAGTCCTCACATACTGTAGAGCTTGAGCATTATAAAAAAAATAAGCAAATTCACTTACCACTAAGATCATTTATGTTATTATAAGACAAATTCAGTCTAGTCAGGTTAACCAGTGCTTCAAGTCCTAAAAACAAGGTGTGTGTGGGGGGGAAAGAGATAGCTTTTATAAGGTTTAAATAAAGAAACAGCATCATTTCACATTGATAGCAGTGAAATCAATTGCTAGGTTTTGGAGTAGTTAGGTATTTAAAAAGACAGTTTTATGAAAAAATAAAACATTTTTCACTGTGGGTTTTATTGGCCAAATTTTCAAACACTAATGATTCTATTAATTCCCTTTTTTGAAAGAAAACAGATATATATACTTTTTTTTCATTTTTGTTAAACAAAATACCACATGTAATAGTTTACAAACCTTCTACTCTTGTGATCAAATTGCAGGACAAGTTTAAAGTGCATAGTTTTGTCAATGTGTTTAGCCCTTCAATTTGACTTATTTGATTGGATGACAGATCTAAATGTCGTAGGTTCCAAATGTGATCAATGGCTGTGATCTTGGAGATGTTATTACAATGCAGATTGATGGCATGAAGGGTTGAATCTAAAGATAACTCTGATATACTATAAAAGAAAACATTATAAAAGCAGATTTAAGAGGCACGACAAAATAGTTAAAAATTAATCAAATAGCACAACTATGATGAATATGTGTTCTTTCACTTTAGAAAAAAATCCTTTCTATTTTTGCCTTGTAATATTTCATGACTTACCATGCAAACTAATATTTTGGTCCATTTATACAAACACAGAAAGAAAAGCAAGTCTGGGTACTTTTAGCTTGCATGTACAAAGTAAATACCATATATAGTAAAGGCAGAATTCAACAGTCAGTAATGATAAAGGCTCCTGAATGCTAACACACCATTTCATATCTCTGCTCTGCTTTTGCTATGTTGAGCTACTGCAACACCCTGTGCCCCATATGTATGTTTTTTGAGAACTTCATACAAGTTCTTCATACACATGTATTTTGATCATATTGACTTTCTCTCTCATACCTCTTCTTAGATTCATTTGCCCTTCCTTTCCTACCCAATTCTGTGTCTGTTTTGGTTTGTTTTCACAATCCAGGCCAATTTGTGCTGCCAAAGTATCCTTGGATGTGCAGCCTTCCACTAGAGTATGGTAGACTTATGGGGGTGGTGGTGGTGGGGATGACATTCTTAGAAAAAACTGACCCTTCCTCTTCTAGCAGCTAAGAATGAACAACTGCAGCCTTTAAAGCTGTTTCCTTTTCTCACTTAATTTTCACAACTCTCAGCAGTTGGTGAATGTTTATGGCAATTAGGCCAACAGAGACCTGACATGACTCCAGATCTTATGCATGAGCTTACAACTTTATGTTCTTTACTGTCTGTGATAGCTAGTTAGCACAGAATGTAGTTGATTTCTAAGAGCTTACTGCTCTTTCTGGTGGGAAGGCTCCTGTCCCCTCTAACTGCAAGGTGGAATGCATTTCCTCTAAACAGAAATCATGTCTCTACTCCCTCTATGTCCCACTTGTAAGTGGAACTTGCCTAGTAGGACACAGTAGTAGTTCCATTGAACTACAGTGCACAGTTGAGAGGTGCTAGATGAATGCAGTTAGGAATGGTCATTGTGGTAGATTTTGTGCTGGCTATTATATTTATAAAGTTGCAGGGAACCTACTAATTGGCAGCAAGGAAACATTTGAAAACCTCAAACCACCAATTTCTAAAGGTGCCTGTTTGAAGTATTTGCCAATTACCTTGCTTCTATCATTTACAAAACTATTTAGGGTCGGATCTTGTGCTATTGCCATATGCTTTTAATAGCCATTTACTTTTTGACACATCAGAACTTACTTAATATTGCTGAGTTTAATTGCTCACTAGTTGCACTGTCAGACAAATTATATAATGCATCTAAAATAGAAAGTCCCAGATTCATTGCTTATTAGAAAAATGACCTTGCAGATTTGTTGTGGGCATTAGTAATAACGCATATAACATTCACATAGGCAACAACCTGGAAATGATAACCACATTATTAAATACAAATGCAAGCATTCCTTTGAAAAACCTCTTCCCCGGAAAACCTCAGATCAGGACTGAGACTAAGCCATTTTATTATATTATAAATGCCAAGGTTCAGATAGAGTAGGGCACCTCCACAAAGACACGGAGACTTCTGCAATGGAAATGCCTACAACAGGATATCCAATAAGAGTCTCAATGAGGGTCCAGCATCGATGGCCTCGAACCAGACCAATGACTATGCAACTAACACTTGCAAGTAAAAATATATAGACAAGGGGGTTTACTTTGTGTCTCACTGTAGCTTTCATGATGAGATTTTTTAATTTTCTCCTTTCTTATTTTTTTCTCTTAAATTTTTTTTATTTTGGGGGATGGGGTTTGCAGGGGCAGAGGGAGGATGCCAAGGAACGGGAAATGAATGGGATCAAAATGCATAATGAGAAAGGCACATTAAATAAATAAAAAGAGGAAAGAAAGAGGAGGGAAGGAAGGAAGAAGGAAAAGATCCAGGAGACTGAGAAAAGCATAGAGAGAGAGAGAGAGAGAGAGAGAGAGAGAGAGAGAGAGAGCGCGCCAAGGAGACCAAGATAAGCAAAGAGAGAAAGAAAAGAAAAAGAGAAAGAGAAAGAGAAAGAGAAAGAGAAAGAGAAAGAAAGATCCAGGAGACCAAGAAAAGCATTGAATGGTTGAATGGTCTGGGCAGCATGAAACAGGGTCAGCTAAAAAAGTTATATGTGCTACTTTCAATAAGTATATGATGTGTGTCTGATGGTGCCTGTGCAGAAAGAAATGAAAAACGTGTGAGAACTGAGAGGCAAGAGCTGCAAGCAGGGAACTCAGCGACTGGCCCCAGGTGCAAGCCCCAGACACCACACACCAGACTCAGAGAAGGGAAA